AATTTTTTAAAAAATTACTTATATATAGGCATTTTGTAAAAAATTTGCTTTTTTTTTACCATGTACAACATATAATATATATATATATATATTATAAGCATATTCAATTTATACATATATTACATAATCGTCACTACTTATTAAATGGTCCATATATTAAGAATTTTAACCGTATTATTTTTTTTGTAAGTAATTTTCACAATCTTTAAACATAATATTTGTGTTTTATTTTATAAATAGTGATGAATTAAACATAATGTACGAAATATATGTGAAATATTGAAAATGAATAATTTTATATAGGGAGTTAAAAAGGCATTGCAAGATTTATTAGTGTAGAGTCAATTGTTGATGAGTCTCTTGGTTTGAAATAATGTCGAACACAAATTTAAAATACTAAATTTCAAAAGTTATGTCTATTGTAAAATATTTTTTTTTATAATTTATGATATCGAGTTTAGAATACAACTTTATGTCTCATATGTATGTATATATTATGTGATAATATTAAATATTGTATATTTCTTGTAGTCTTATTGAAGTCGATTTGAATATCTCACGATCAAGTTCATATTTATTAAATAAATGTGTGGGATATTTGGTTTGACACATTATATAAACGAAAAAAAAAATGTGAGCTTGATCTCGATTCATTTAATAATCAAATTCAATTGATTGATCGAGTTTTCACTTTCAATTCGAGTTATATTCGCAAGTAATTCATTTCAAATTATAATTATAGTCTCCTTAAAAAAATATTCTGAATTCGTCCATGCCTTTTATTATTGTGTAATTTTGTCCCACTTAAATTTATCAGATCTTATAGATAGAATGTATTCTTATTTTTTTCATTAACTACCAATTTCACTAAAAAAATTTACCAATATCTCACCAATATTCTTACGTCATTGGATGTGGTGAAATTTATGTGTAGAGTTTGGTTTTCTATATAATTAAAATTTATTTAGCCAAAGCAAGCATTTTATTGTCTTCAAACTAGGCTTGACACAAGTTGACTCGAATCGAACATTATACTTATTGAGTTAGATCCTTTTTTTCTAGAAAAAAATATATAAATGTTAAATATAATTTTTTGTTCAAAAATTAAGTTTTATCAAGTTTAAATTTGAATTTAACTCATGTTAAGAATTTTTAGGTCAAATAAATTTACACTCGAATGGTCGGTTGAAAATTCGAACTTATAAAGTTATACCATACAAAATTAAGTATTGCTTGTGTTCGAGCTCAAGAAGCACGACCTCGACTCTCAAGTCAAACTTTGATTTTGCGACTTGCGAGCCACTCGATTCATTAACTGCCCTAACCCAATAATATTATTTATAGAATTATTGCAAGTAATTTTTAGTTATAGTACCAAATTGCAAGTTTTAAATTTTCATATTTGCGATATTTAATTCCATATATTTATTTTCTTGTTTTATTTTTATTTTCAACTGGGGTTTTCAGGAGGAATATCTAATCGGGCCGGGCCGGATCTTGAATTCGAACTAAGAGCTTTAAAGTTTTTTGGTAATGGCGTCCAAATTGCTGCTGGTGACTGTTTTTGTCTTAGATTTGGTTGCCTTTTCACTTGCTGTGGCTGCTGAGCAGCGGAGATCCTCTGTGAGTTTCTTTTTTTCTTTCTTTTTTTTTTTATTAACTTTTTTTTTGTGCTTGAGGAAAAATAAAATTAAAAAGAGTCTCTTGATCAATTCTGGTGTTGGGTTTTTTGTGAGCTGAATTTTCTGTTTTCCTTATCAATTTTGCTTCAACAATTTGGTATTTTGTTTGGATAATGTTGGGGTTCTATTTTTAAATTGAGAAAAATCTGATCTTTTTTATGTTTTTTTTTGCTGGAAAATAGAGTGTGGTGAGATAATTATAAATGGGGAAATGCTATGGTCCGTTACGGAACCATTCTGTCAGAGTTTGTAACCGTTGGATTATCATGTAACCGTCGGGATAGTTGATCTAACGGTTACAAACCCCGACGGAATGGTCCCGTAACGGGACCGTAGCATCTCCCAAATAAATGTTAATTCCACTTTCTTGATCCATTTAAAAGTACATTGTCCCTCTGCCCTTTAATCTCTCCATCTGTGAATACTGTTGTAAGTGTTGAAGTTTTTAGTATGTAAAGGTTATATATATTCGAGGCAGAATGTAACTCAACTCAACTCAACTAGTACTTCAGCATTGTTTTAGTATCACTAATTATGTTCGAAGCATAAACTCTTGTGTAAGGCGGACGCGGACTGATCATTAGACGTGTCCATCCCATCATTCTTTTTTAACGAAAATGATATAACAATGTAATTCCTTGTGTGGTTACTGTTAGTGCTGGTTCTCCATTTTATTTACTTGCTGGAAATTTGCAGTATTTGATGTCTGGTTTTAGTATGTGAGCTCCTTCAATTTTGTAAGAAAGGGGCAAGTTATCAAACATTCGAAGTGTCTGAGGCTAAAATCGTCAATTTGAACATCTTTTGCAGGCGAGGTTGGCCATCGATGCAAACACTAACCACTGTGTTTACGAGTCGGACATAGCAACTGGTTTAGGTGTGGGCTCGTTTTTGCTCCTTTTGGCCAGTCAGCTACTGATAATGGTCGCTAGTCGATGTTTGTGCTGTGGGCGGGCTTTAAGGCCCGGTCGCTCAAGGGTTTGGGCAATTGTTTTGTTCATCACTTGCTGGTACATTCTTTTCCCCAATCTAAATTGTTCCGCACCATACCATCGTTCAATTTTACTTGACAAAATAACACTTGAATCTTGATGGTGTGATTTGTAAATGCAGAACAGGTTATATATACATAGTACATTACTACTAAAATGTTCTTTTCGAAATTGGCGAATAGTATAAAGAAGAATTGCCGGAAGCACATTGGACATATACCCATTTGTATTGAGTAATCGTTTTGGAGTTCTTATTGAGACCCAAGGAGTTTTTATTTAATAACATTCCTCCATAGTTTATAATTCTCTATTTCTTCTCACTATTGTCTTATTAGGTATTACCATAACCTAGTTCTTAATCTTGAAATAAGTAAGAGAGTACATTTGAAAGTGGTGGTAAACTAGTTCTATAATGACATTTAATTTGAATTAAACAAAAGGAAAATATATACAAAACACAACGGATAGCTCCCTTGTAGAGTCATCCACGAATGAATTTATGTATTGACACATGTTCTACGGTGTATTTATAACTCCCTTGTAGAGTCATCCATTTTGTTAATAATTGCAAATGACTCCATGTCCCATGCCATCCCATAGTTCTACAACAAAATCGAACAAGTCTATGTTTGTTTACCAAATAAACTAGCTTATAGCTTATTTGATTACTTTATAAACTTTTATTCAAATAAGCTTCGTATGGTAGGACGAGTTTTTTTAAAAAAACTCAAGTTTATCTCATAAGTTTCCTTGGGTAACTTTTCTAATAAGCTCGTTGAAATTTATACTTTTGCTGGCTTATCAGCTAATTTTACCAAACACTTTTATCATATAAACTAAAGCTATAAGTCATAAGCTATAAGCTCGAA